TTGATTTTGTTGGAGTCGTGGAAGTCGACATCCGGTTTCCAGTTCTCCACTGGTGGGATTTCAATTGGTCTGCATGTATATCCTTCGTTGACAGAGGAACTTGCTCCTGGGGATGACATAGGTCTCGGTGATCTCGGTGTAAAAGGGTGACGTTGAGGTGCAAAGTTGGCGTTGTTGGGAGGTGTCTGTGAGCTCGGAGGCGGCGTGGGCGGGAAAGGTGCCGTAGGTGAAGTCCATGGTGGGCGTGTTGGGAACGATGGAGACGTAGGTGGCGGAGGCGGTATTCCGGATGGGTTCCACAAGGGTCGATGGGTCGTCATGGCATAATGCATCGGGCCACGGAACGCCGGTACTGCTTGGTGCCATCCATGTTGATGACGTGGTGGTGTGCGCGAGCGATCCGGCTGGGAAGGAGGAATTCCATTCATATCCGCGCTGTATTGGGAGATCAGGTCCTGGGACGCCATGATGTAGAGAGGGTCACGAAATAATAGGTCAAAATGCGCTCGAACTGCCGAATGAAAGCTGCGGAAAATGTCGAGGTGAGACAAGGGTAATGTGAAATTGAAAAAGTGTGAAACATAATACGTGGTCCCATTGTGTGAAACGTAAAGTGAAAACGAATCGGGCGAAAGGATCAACAATATGAGCAAGCAGCGATTCACAAACCTTTTGAGGAAGAAGTGGCGGCAATACCGAATGTCGGGAGAAGCATTGTTACTCCAAAATGATCGGGCAGGGCCACTAGGCTCACTGTATCGCTGACGTAGAATAGTCGATACTTGTTCCGGTGCTCCTCAAGGGTAAATAGTTCACCAACGAGATCTGGAGTGGTGGGTCGAATGTCGAGAACGAGGTCGGCCGTCATGGTGCTGATCGCGAGAGTGGTCTTCATGGTATGAGGATCGGCGATCTCGGCGGCTGTAGGTGGAATTGTCCCAAGAAGCATTGTCGTGCCAAGATCGGCGAGCATAGTTCCGAGAGCCAGAGGCAGCGGTCTCGCGGTGGCTCGGTGTGTCGCGAGAGTCGTCTGGGGGCGGCTCCGAAGGTTCTGGGGCGTCGGCATAAGGGTCAGGTCGTACTGGACGTGCAGAGTCATCAGGAGGTTCCGAAGGTGCATTGGTCTCCGCAGTCTGGTGTGTGATCAAGCCCGGGAAAACCGTGTGAGTGGAGGCAACGTAGCATATAGATGCGGCGCTCGAGTTCATAGCCGTTGCATTGTCTTTGCCCTTGGCGATGCCCGCAAGGTTGCACAAGCGTTGGATTTGGTCATTTCCTCCAGCTAGGGCACGGATGCATTTGGGTGAGCGGCATATGGCCAGTAGGCCTGATGGGTTTTGTCCTTTGCCTATTTTGTAGAGCTGAGAGGTACAGATCTTGACAGCATAGCCGGGTAGGTTGTCGATGTCTGCGATCTCAGAGGACATTCCGAAGAACCCGTAACATGGGTATTGAGTCGGCATGCCGGCTTCGTTTTTTGTCCAAGTTGCCGGGCGGATGCAGTCTTCCGCAAGAATTTTGGCAACTGATTCCCAACTCGTTTTGTGGTAGATCAGGTAGGTGCCCATGTGTTCGCCACGGTAGATTGGTTTCTTCTTCAATCCTGTGGGAACCGTGATGGTCAGCAAGTTCTCTGGCTCGATGTAGAAGGCTTGTGTTTGCCTTGCGAGTTCGATGTCCAGTAAGTCGGATTGTGCAAAGGCCCTGGCAATATTCCTGACGGTGGCTTGGCTTGCTTTGATGTAAATACGATGGTTGTTGACGGTGCGGTATGGTTTAGCCAACTGTTCGAACATCGCGTCCACAAATTGGTTGAAGAGCTGCAAGATAGCCGGGGTCAATGATTGGCGTAGGGGAACAACATGATCGGGGCCAAGCTCAGTCAGGCAACGGACCCTATGGGGGTCATTGGCCGCCGCCACCATTTCATCGAGGTCGATGTCATTCGTGTCAAACTTGGTGAGCGAAATTGTATCTGTAACCTCAGAATTTTCACTGTCGCCGTCCGGAACTCGGAAGGACACCGCGCCGAGTGGTGCTGAAGTGTGGGCTGGTGGGTTGGTAGTTGGTTCAGGTGGCGGTGGATCGGCAGGAGAGTTGGGTCGAGCAGTGTGGTGGTGGTAGTTGTCGGTGTAATGGCTGTCGTTCCATGTGCCCCAGGTGTCATCAGCGTCGGGAGTGGGGATGTAGGCCGGATTGGATGGGTTTGCAGCTGGTCGAAGTATGACTTCACGGCCTCTGGATCGGTGATGTGGTGTCTCGGAGCGTGGGCGTGGGTGAGATCGATGACGTCGAGGAACCACCGGAGAGCGTCGTCGTGGTGGTGATCTTCGTCTGTATGGGGATGGGGTTCGGCGGTCCTTGGCGTGTTTTGTGGATGATCGATAACGAGGAAGAGGAGAACGAGGTCGAGCTGCACGTTGAGGAGATTTGCGATGGTGATGGGAATGTCCAGAAGGTCGATGGGAACGTGATCTTGGAGTCCTGGATCGTGGTCGGCGTGTTGGTGGTGGTGGAACTTGTAGTTGGTGAGGAGGAGCGATGGCTGGAGCTGGGACAATACGATGGTCCTGAACGTCCGGTTCGGTGGGTCTGGCTTTCGGTGCAGGTGGAGGCGTGGCGATCAGTGGTGGTGTAGTTGTAGGTGGCGGTGTCGGTGGTGTAGGATTCGGTGGAAGTTCATCTTGTTGAAGAAGGAGTTGACGTTGTTCTTGTGCTCGTTGAGAATCCATGATCAATTGTTGCTGAGCTTGAATAAGTCGAACAGATTCAGCCAGTTGTTGTGCAGTGGAACCCAGGGATGCAAGTTCAGGTGACACGGATGAAGTCGGTGCTGTCGTAGGTGCCGGTGGTGTAGCGTGAGGAGGGGTTTTCGGAGCTGGCCTGCGTGGTCGATCCGGTCTTTTGTCAGAGCGATGCCTGGGAGCTGCCTTGACTGCTGGGGGTCGTGGTGAAGGCTCATTTGGAGGGACCGTCGATGCGTCCATCTGTAATGGAGGTTGAATGTGGTGAGGTGGGTATGGAGAACTGGGCAAAGGTGTCGGTGTCATAGTCGATGTAGGTGGTGTAGTCGATGTAGGGGATGGAGCCGGAGGGGAAGGCCACGTGGGTGGAGCGGTGGGTGCCATAGGAGATGGAAAAGTCGACGGAGCGGTGTGCACCATAGTTGGTTCAGGAGCCAAAGGCGAAGGCATGGTGGGTACGAGCTGTGGCCCTGGTACTGCATGAGGAGCCGAAGTCAATGAGGTGAACGGCAACGATGTTGGGGTTGATGTAGACGGCATGAGCGAAGCTGAGGATGACCATGTAGGATGCAAGGCCGAGGGATGTCCAAATAAATGTGCATTCGGCGTTGATTGCTGCCACGTCGAAGATGGGTTCGAAGGCTGCGGTGGAGCAGGCCATGACGTTGGCGGAGTGTTCCACGGATGCATCGCTTCAGTAGATCAAAACAAAAGTGAACAATCACATGCAGGATTCAGTCCCTAACTGCCTAAAATGTCGTGCGATTATTCCCTGCACCGGGACCGTGGTCAAGTCGTGCCGCAATGGCATAAAACAGCTTCCAAGTTCCATCGAATTAGATGCACAAAATGTTTAACCTCACCAGACAACCATCAAAAGAAAGAATCACCACACCTGAAAGTCGTGTGCCTGCCTGTAACTCGTCACATGGACATGTTTCACTGCCAAAGCTTGAGCTGTAGTGATCGAAAAAAGAACGTTTCTGGTTGTTCCGCATGGCTTCTCTCAGTGAAGAAAGCAATTCACGAGGATCTCAAGGGACAGCCGGAGCAGCAGGAAATCACAAAATGGCTGATAAACCGCAAGGCTGATTGTTGCCCTCTACTTAAACGAATTACTAGGTTAAAATGTGTGAATTCAGAATTCAAGTCTGTCAACACTCACCCTGAAAAGGGTTGCCTCCAATGGCTCCATGGCACCATGTCGGAGCCACCATGGAAATCACACTAGACAAGAATGGATCATTATATGATCCGGCAGGAACTGAATCCTGAAACATGCAAACCAGTCTAAATTATTTGATGAGTAAAAGAGCCGCATGAGGTACTTCTCGAAAACGATGTAGGGCATCCGATATTGTCAAACGTAGTTAAAACCAGAGTCCATAGAGTTTTGACCAGCATGTTGAAATCCCAAATAATGTTTCGGCGATTGTTTCCCAAAAAGACCCAAAGTTCGTCGGCGACATGATCTCGGCGAAAATATATCAAAAAATCATAATACTGTCGGCGATATGGTTTCGGCGAAAATCTGAGGAAGGTTCTGATGCATGCAATACAGATTGTGGCAACCGTGTAGAGTCGAAACAACGCAGTGTAACAGCTTGGTCAACAGTTCAAACTGAGTTTTGCAGGTACAAGTGGTTGATCAGACCACTCATCCACCGAAATGCCATAGCTTCGTTGGACTGGATAGGCAAATCGGCTCCAGTCCCCCTGCAAAGTAGTGAAAACCAATAAGAAGTTTTACATCTGTTCAGATGGTACACACACACACACTGACTGTCGTCACAAGAAACTGAAGCGGGAGGAACAAAATCGCTGCTTTGGAGATAGACATGATTGGACATGAACATCTTTGTTTGTTTTTAAGATGTTACATGCAGGCGTGTGTGCATGGAATGAATGTGCACGCGCTAGCTTACGTACCAGCATGTACCCATTGTAGGTTTGCATTCATACTTATATGTACATGAGTCGGATTGCCGACATCATTGGTCTTCCCAAAGGTTCTTCCGATATAACTTGTGTCATCATGTGTCATCTGTTTTTGGTTCCTCAAAGTTACCCGAATTCACTTCAGATGCCACATCAGCAAGAAAGAGCCACTCTCCCTTGAACTGAGTGCCCAAAACGGCCATTGCGCTTACGCTCTACAGAGGCTCGCTGTTTTAAATGATTTTTTTGGAACTAACAAACAGAAGGGGGCGATGACACCAGTCTTGACGCACCTGGACCAAACCAAAGCCACAACAGGTGGTGCCGTCGAAGTCGAGGAATTTTTGCTCGGCTGTCTCCGCTTGCGTGGACACGCTCGAGCAATGGACATCGCAAAGCTGACGTACGACCAAACTTGGCTCATCAAGAGCCAGGGGAAGTTTCTTGAGATTGTGAAGGATTCAGCCTTGCAAGGGAATGCCTCAACCACCATGGATGCCAGTCTTCTTTTACCAAAGAAACCATCCTGATTGGGAGCAACCCAATAGCCCATTTTTGGACACACCACTGAGCTCAGTTGGGAGTTGGTGAAGGTACCTCAGCTGAGCCACCCGTCCTTCTCCAGACAAGTTGCCCAAATCTTGCTCAGGTTTCAGCAATTTGTGGAGGAAGAGCTGCAAGGCTTGAACAACAAGGCGCAACCCGAGATGGTAAGGAAATTTCAGCGTTGGCGCTGCCCGCCCAATCACTAGCTTTAGTTTGGAATGTTAATGCAAAAATTGAAAGCCTTCAATCCTGATGGGGATGGTCGATGTGTATTTCAAAGATCCCTACTGTACGCAGCGTGGATTGTTCAGGCGCCGTCTCATTTCGGAGTATCTTTGGGATATTTTGGGATCCCAAGGTTGACCACCGATGTTTTCAAAATAGAACAAAGTTGAGCAATTTCGCAGCAAGGTCGCCAATGAATATGTTTGGTTTTCAGCGCTTGGAGTAAAACCCTCTGCCGATTGTCTCTGAACTCTCAAGACGCCGCAGGTTACGGCTTTGACCCAAATCTTTGGGGAGAAGGACTGATGCAATGCGAGGATTGTCCCAATCTTCAAACCCGTGAAATGGAGCCCACTGTTTTCGTGTCAAGAGTGGTTATTGCCACCAGCCAAGGTTTCAGGTTTCAATTCCGCAGCCTTTCTGGTGGTCCTAACATCAGGAGGTTGGAAAAGGCTTGTTCCCCACCGGCCAGGTGAGGGTCTCTAGATTTTATCAGAGCTGCTTCTTCCTCCTCCGCCTTCTTCTCCTTCTCCTCCAGCAGCCTCGAAGCGCCAGATGTCAGATAGAATGCCACAAAGAATGCCAGCTAGAATGTCAGAATATACGTCAGATAGAATGCCAAGTATACTATCAGAATATGATAGAATATGTGTCAGATAGAATTAGTTGGTGGGGATCACACGAAGAAAGTAATTCTTTGTGTTGGTCATGGTCGAGGGGTCACGGCACAGCTAAAAATGAACCAATTCAATATTGAAGCGAATGAAGGGGACAAAACCATCCAGACTGATGTAAACTGATTCAGAGGAAGCGCCTTACCCACCCCTAACAAGTGTGCCTTTGCTTTCCTCTATGATTGGAATGGGTCATAACCTTAGATTCCTCAGATGTGTTTGGATGAAACACCAATCACTGCCAGGTGAAGTTTGGTGTGATTTCACCGGTGTGACAAGATTTTTCCGACTAGCCACATGCTTCAATGTGTTTGTCCAGAAAAGGGTACCCTGAAATCCAATGTATTGAAGCCGCATGTTTCCCATTTAAGTGGCCAAAACATCATGTTCCCATGGCCCATGTTTTCCATATGTACCCATTTTCGCCATGTATCTAGTCAGCGTGGCGTTGAAACTTGGAAACCTTGGTGCCTTTGAGTCATTGATCCAGTGACTTGTTCATCTGGACTTCGACCCTGGCCGCGACATCGGTGTTCGGCCTTTGCCACGCACAAATGTAAAAGTTGGTGGCTGCTTTTTGCATTTCAAGCATACGCACTTTATGTAGAAATGAATATATATATATATATGTATTTGTATTTATTTACCGCAATATGTACATCTGTATGAGTTTTTGGTTGTGGGGATTTGCATATGGAGATGTACATGTGTGTTGTGTATGTTGTGTTTCATCCGACATAGGATAAGATTAATTCCGCTTCACAAGCTGGAATGATGATCGAAGCAGACGCCAATAAACTCAGGGTTCATGAGATGAAACTACTTGTGCGGTCGAATGAACCCTGTGCCAATGCATGCCAATACCAACAGGCAACCATTGAGGCGATATCATCGCCGTCTGCGCTATTTCAGTATTTCACTGTGTCAATACCGCTGATTGAGTATCTTCGAAAATATCATCTAAGATGTTTGGTCTTTTATTCCCATTGGGTTGGCACGGCACAGGAAGAGTTTGAACCGCATTCCTGGAAACTGCCGCGCACTGCAGCGTCTAGAGACAACTGCAAGTCATCGTGTTGACCACGAGCTGCAGCTCACAAGTTCATTGCGGTGTCAGATCGAGGGGAAAATAGGCCAAGGTGCTATTGCAAGAGGCTGATATTTGAAGAAAGCTGTGGAAGATATCCCAAGGAAGTTGTTGAATATGCTCCATCCGTTTGGATTTCCCAATGGATTTGTGAGGGTTGACTCTCCGAAATCGGCAAGGTTAGCAATGATCGAGAGTCGTTTTTGTTGACCTTGTTCATCTCACTGTGGCGGTGTGCATCATCGCGACAACGACCGAGTGGGGCCCCCCCCTGCTCTGCTCAGCAAAGCGGCAGAAAAATTGCCAGCATGGAAGGTTGGAACATGTTGGAACTGTTGAGACCGCACAAAAGCACGACCAAATATTCCATGGACAGATGGAACGGAGAGATCTCCTGAACATGAAACGCAACCCAATGCCCATTCAGTTTGGATGCAATTCTCCAACGCAGCTGTTTCAGCATATATTTCGTTCGAAGATCTCTTTGGAAGACCCCCGGAGATGGCGAGCATGGACCACTTTCCACCCGAAGATGAAAGAGTGGAAAGACTGAAAGCATCGATTTCTGTGCATCCAGGTTGGGCTGGGACAGCGATCGCTCTCCTAGGCTTGCTTTGCAACCAGCAGAAGTCGAAGCGACACTGACATGGGGCACAGTTATAGCTACTGTAGCGCAGATGAAGGTTCATGATGTTTCATACGTAGTTTCGTTCAGGGACGTCTCCAAAGTGTTCTGAGAGTTGGTTGTTCTAAAAGCTTCTTTCGCTTTGCAAAGTGGTTGCTCTTCCTGAACCCAACAATATCACAGTCGTAGCTGGTCTTACCTATTTCCACTTCAAATTTCACAGTGCCTCCAGTTTTCCTTCTTCTCCTTGCTATCAAATTTCAAGCCTTCCAAAGCGGCTTTCATGATTCATAATGATCCCTACGAGCTTCTGCTGATCCATAATAGCTCATGCTTGTCAGGCTCTTTTCTTCATCCTTTTGCATCATTCAGCCAAGTTATCATATTGCGTTACAAACCCTCGGGTTTGTACATCGACCTGCTGTGACGGAACGTATCAGGTGAAGATTCCACGCTCAAAGACTCCTGGGAAACCTAGCTTTGCTGATTGCGCAGTCTTTTTGTGGATCCACCATCTGAAAACAAACCAAAGAGACGACAAGACGCCGAAACGCCAAAAGCATCCAAAGACAAGCCTCAATCGTGCTCAATCGTGCTCAATCGTGTTCAATCTGCTGTACCAAGGACTCACGGCTCATTGAATGCCACAGGGCGGTCATGGCAAAGCTTGAGAGTCAAGAGAGGATCTTGCACAGTCTCTTGCTGAGACAAAGCAGGCAAGACAACGGTTACAACGGGGCAATGTGCTCCGTCAACTCCCAGGGCTCCGATCGAAAAAAGATTCCCGAGGGTGGGTTCAGGATCCTTGGAACAGCATGGAACAGCTTCATGCGATTCAACTCCGTTTTTGCAGTGCATGTATATATAGCTTAGTTGTCCACGGTGTTTTCACATGACGAAACTGACGGACACCGGCAACAAGTTATTTGCCGTCTTTTGAGAACTTGCAGACTTGTTCGTATTGGAAGGCGCTCGTGCAGACTGAAGACACATTAAGATATTATCATCCAAGTGTTGCAGCTATTATTCTTGCTGGGGACAGGAGGAGATTTTACCCGTTCACCAGAGGGTTCTTGACCCAACATCTTTTTCTTTTTCCCACTTTTTCAGAATCAACGAATAAACATTCCCATCTCTCCAAAGAGAGACATTCGCAGTTTGCCTGGAAACTCACCCATGTTGGGGCAGCGAGGAACCCCAGGAGTCTCCTCACGGCCGATAAGATCCAAAATATCCGACTGGATTCCGCTGACACAAATCAGAACCAGACAAACCAGAAGGACCGAGTAAGTGAAAGCGGCTCAGACCCGGGAGAGGGAGTCTCGAACAATTCGTCCATTCGCCTCTTCAAGAGCCCCTTGGCCTCAGAGATCCTGTCACTGTGCTGTCATGTTTGGGCCTTGTTGGGTGGTTAGTGGCTGGACGTTCTTTAGGCAGGGAACGCGTTCGAAGAAACCCTTGGGCTTATCCCTGTCCAAACCCACAAACGTAGCAGGAATGGCAGGTTGGTGGCAAAGTGTTCTGGTTGCGGTTCTGGGTTTTGATATGGTCCCTCGAATGACACTGATTCAAAGTCTTCCTCCTTCTTCTGCGCATCCTTCTTCTACCGCCAGCTCCTGGGCACTGCAGGCACCAGATGCACGCTCCGGATGCAGTGGAGCACGCCTGGATCCGAGCAGAGGCCAGAAAAGATGCTAAATAAAATGTCACATAGACTGCCAGAATATCTGCCAGATAGAATGCCAGCCAGATTGTTTAGAATATATGGCAGATAGAACGCCAAATAAAATGCCAGAATATCTGCCAGATAAAATGTCAGAGAGAATGCCAGATAAAGTTTTAGAATATCTGCCAGATAAAATGTCAGATAGACTGCCAGCTAGAATAATAGAATATATGTCAGATAAAATGTCAGAATATCTGCCAGATAAAACCTCAGATAGAATGTCAGCTAGAATGTTAGAATATATGTATGTGAGGTCAAATGGCAGATAGAACTGCTAGATAGATAGTCAGATAGAATGTCAGTGGGTGGGGGTCACTCAAAGAAAGTAACCTATCTAGCAAGACCAGCTTTTTGTGGGCTTAATGATGGCCCAGCGATACCCCGATGACTTCACTCCCACCTGTTTAACCTTGCTTGGGTCATCCTGAAACCTTGTAAATGGTGTATAAACGGATTAGGCCGTGTTGTATGCCATGTATCTTAGGTCAACGAAATCGTTTTTTTCAGGCTTTCCAATGATTCACGGAGTCAACTGAGGCTATTCGGCACACGACATCGACCTCCAGGCGGAAGCAAAGAGCGTGCACAAGAAAGTCAGCTCCAAGAAAAACATCCCAAAGCGAGTGGAGACTTGCGCGGCAGCTGAAAAAAGGAAGATGAGATTTATCGGATTGGAAAGTTTTACTCGCCAATGGCAATTCTAGTAGACGCATGACAGACAGTGATAGACAGATAAATCAGCAAATTTGGGTGCGCCCTACCGGACAAATTTCGGTACGTGTCAAAGACATGGGTTCCCTGATTTTTTCGGGTTCAATCCCATGATTTGGTCCTCAATGCAGATTTTGATTGACCCCCAGAAAAGATCAAAATTTATTCCAACCATGTCAGTCAGATTGTATGTTTCTGTCTGGGGTTATGGGGTTATAGGTAAAAACATTCGGATCTGATTGACCAAGATGACGGAGACAGCACAGAGTGTGACCACTTTCCTGGGGATGGTTGCTGTAGGAGCCACATGCTTGGAGTCTTGTGTGCTATTTGTGTGTTTGTTTTATCTTGTTTTTTGCAAGGGTTTATACTTGAGGCACCTGAAATTACCTCCGTATTGTTTCGCTGACATATCTTTGCCGGAATATTTCAGCGGGGGTTAGATTAGAAGGAACGTTTACTGGAAAAGATTGGAGGCAAGCAAGATAATACATTGCACCCAGTTTCAACCTTCAGATGCCTTTTCGGAAATATCCAAGCCACAACAGACGCAACTTTTAGTCAGGTCTGCCCTCCTCGCTGAGGAAAGTGTGGTAGGACAATCTTTGCTGCTCACCAGCAAAACTTCAAAAGTCATTCAAGCCGTGGTGCGGCATCCTGGCTTTGACCTTTTTTTTGCCGTCATTGTTTTCTTGAATGCAATCTTCATGGGCATTGAAGTGCAGTCAAGCATTGATGGAGACTGGCTTCCTCCTCAGCTTCCCCAGGTTGTCAACTATGTCCCTTGGTGTCCAATGCTACCAGCTGCTACCAAAAACTTTGTTTTGAGATTTTTGAGAAAACTGTTGCAGAAAAACGTGGCCACATGGTTTTGGGCAATGTCACCTACTAATGATTTTGGTCATTCCGCGGTGAGACAGCCATGTAGGCTGCAGCATTTTTGCACCATCCCAAGGTCTTTGCAGCACTGTTCACACTGGAACTAGTGGTCAGATTCTTCTTTTCCAGCGGGAGTTTCTTCTGCTCCGAGGACTACTTTTGGACTCTCAGACAAGATGGGACCGGAGTCCACCTTTCATCAGTGTTATATTTGCTTTGTAACCTGTAGCCCGCCTGTTATAGTTGTAATTTGATGACTATACTTGTAACCCAGCCCTAGTTGGGGGGAGTTGCACCTTAAAGTGGCCGCTCAGACCACATCCAAAGGGTCAAAGGGTGACAACTCTGGCTCCTATATTCTCTCGGCCTAGGGTTTTCTGGTAGCTTAATTCACGAAACTTCCTGACTCTCCCGCACAGCACTCAGACAGAGTATCACGCTGCAAAAAAGAAGAAAATGGTATCAAATTTTGGCCCACACCCCTGTAGATGTACCGTACTTGTGTGTTTTGCTGTTTGTAGAAGCCCCTCCCACAGGTTTCGCAGCGAAATTTGACATGTGAACGAAAAGCAACGCAACTACAAGGGTCAAGGTTCGTTCCAGGGTTCAGTCTGAGATGTTCTAGCATACCGGCTTCTAAGGTTCCAAGATTCCGGACAGACTTTCAATGTTCAAGGATTAACCCAGCTTTGCAACGCAACAGCAGGCTCCAGGGTTCCAAGGTTGCAATGTTATCGGGCAAAGTTCCAAGGTTCCAGCAAGGTTCCAGGACTGTTCCGGTTTTTCGGGGCGTACCACTCCCCGCCCGCCCCAGAGATTGAAACCCAAAAGATTCGCTGTTGGGAATTACAATGTTTTTGTTTCCAGGGCGAACCCATTTTGCATGAAGTTTTGCACAGACAGCAAAAAGTATCGACATGCCCCAACCATTCATGCTCTGAGGCAACCTAGCGTTGTAAACTTCTTGAAAAATTGAACTTCGAGATCCCCTGTTTCATTTTCAACCAAGTGCGTCTAAAGGGCTGGGGTCAACAGTGCAGTCACCCGTGGCGTGCAGAGGTTGGATACCCCTTTTTTTATTGATAGTTTCTCTTCGTGCGCCAAATTGTGCCGTTGTAGCGTCACTCCAGTTTTTGGCTGGCCAATCTTCAAACAAAATCGAGACGGTGAGCCCATCACAGAAATTGGAAGAAATCGGTCGCACAACCCCATTCAATGACAGAACTTGCCATGTGTTCTTCGACTTGCTTTTTCCGGGTAGTGCACATGCCTCACGCTAGTACACCCTTTCCTTGGACCATCCAAACCAGCTTACTAGCATCCCAAAAGCTACCTACCCTGGCCTACCCTTGCTGAGAAGGTTTTGTTTCCACCAGACACTCAGAACAAGATGCCATGCAGAGCGGGCCGTTTCTTGAATTTGACCAATAGAAGGGGTGCCCTCCACCCGGAAAACATCAAAATCTCAGAGGAATGCACCAGCGCATGAAGAGCCAACTCTACTTAGTTACTTTCACAGTTGATCACGCCAAATGCTGAAAAGGCTCAGTCGTTGCTGCAAAGGATCCAGTATGCCATTTCCATCCCCTACTTACCCTTACACTAAATACGCCCCATATTGTGCAGTTTCCCGCCCCACCCCCCACTCATTGTCTTCCCATTCATATCGATTCTTCCACGTATCTTTGTGTGAGGTTCTTGGTTTCCAGTTTTTGCATCTACCCGCCTTCTCCTCCTCCTCCTCCTTCTCCTTCTCCTTCTCTTCTTCTCCTCTCTCTCTCCCCAAACCCGTATTTAGTTTCCTTCGTTTACCTTTATCAAACTTATCTCTGTCATGACATATCTCTAGAATAACCTCTTTAGAGCATAACTTCTCTCCCTCCTTCCTCTTTTGTGTTGTGAACCCTCTCTGTCTCAACTTATCTCGGTCGTGAACCATCTCTATGTATTAAGCTTTTCTCGACCACAAATGTTAAAATGTTCGTGTCCGCCATGACTCATCTCTACATCTCTATCGTAGCTTATCTCTGCCTAGTTCTGTGGTATTGTAAATTATCTGCATATAACTTTCATCTCCACCTAACTTACCTCTGTCATAACCATGCATAGCCTATGTTAGTCGAACTTATCTCTGTCAGAACTTATATACAGGAGAAGATTGCAATATGCAATTGGCTCATCCTTTAGTATGGTGTTCAGTTCAACTGCGTTGACTGGTGACCGTATCTCCAGAGTTAATACTTTGCTTTTTCCATTGCAAGTCGTTGGGTACATGGAATTTGGTGGAATTCAATCTTGGCTTCATATCCTGCAAACACTTTTCGTTGGGGGATCCAGACTTAGTTCCTCACTTTCTCCTCACGTTCCCAGGGGTCACAAGAGAGGCAGGCCAGGCATGTTTACGCTCATCAACTAGCACAGAAAATACTTTGGTACTGGAAACGACTCGAACGACATGGTTAGTAAACCGGTTACGCCAGACCATGAAAGTAGTTCTTGGAAGGCTACCTTGAATTTTACTTTACGGAGAAAACAAGATGCAGCCCGCGAACCCGAATGCAGCCATGAAAAATGCACTGTAGACTGTGGAATGTGGAAGGGGGTGGGGTGCAAAGTGTGGAGTATGAAGGAAGAGGAGTGTTGAGTGGGGAATGTCGTGTGTGGAGTGTGAAGTGGGGATTGTGGAGTGTAAAGTGTGGAGTGTGGAGTGTAAATTGTAAAGTGTGGAGTGTAAAGTGTGGAGTGTGGAGTGTAAAGTCTAGAGTGTGGAGTGTAGATTGCGGAGTGTAGAGTGTAAAGTGTAGAGTGTAAAGTGTAAAGTGTACAGCGTGGAGTGTAGTGTGGAATATAGAGTGTAAAGTGTGGAGTTTGAAGTGTAAAGTGTAGTGTGTGGAGTTTGGCGCGTCACGTTTAAAGTGTGGAGTGTAGAGTGTAAAGTGTGGAGTTTGAAGTGTAAAGTGTAGTGTGTGGAGTTTGGCGCGTTGCGTTTAAAGTGTGGAGTGTGGAGTGTAAAGGGCAGAGTGTAAAGTGTGGAGTGTGGATTGTACAGTGTAGGGTGTGGAGTGTAAAGTGTGGAGTGTAAAGTGTGGAGTGTAGAGTGTGGAGTGTAAAGTGTAAAGTGTGGAGTGAAAAATGTAGAGTGTAAAGAGTAAAGTGTGGAGTGTAAAGTGTAAAGTGTGGAGTGTAGCGTGTGGAGTGCACAGTGTAGAGTGTAGAGTGAGGAGCGTCAAGTGTAAAGTGTGGAGTGTAAAGTGTAAAGTGTACCTGTAGCAGACCGCCTGTTTCCATGACGGACCCTTTGGCAATAAGTGCACGAAGCTCTTTCAGGCGCAGCTGTCACACATCTTGCTGTCGCACACAGCTCTTCTACATATCTCTTGCATGCACACCTCTTTCACACACAGCTCTTGCACACAAACTGCTTCCCCGCGCAACTCTTTTACTTACAACCCTTTCACGCGCAGCTCTGTCACCCACAACTCTTTCACAGACAAAATCTTGCACATGCACGTCTTCCCCAGGCAACTCTTCCAGATACACCTCCTTCACAGAACTCTTCCACCAACAGCGCTTTCACACACAACTATTCTTTGTCTTTCCTGCCTTCTCCATACCGCTTCAATCCTTGTTTGTACTTATTGGAAGAAGTTGACTTGTGGGGTTATCCGGTCCTTTTTTTGACATGTGATGTTCTCGACCAATTAGAATCCGCCCTTGGGATTTTCACACAGAAAGAAGCGTTTCTCTAGATATACCAAATGCCAAAGGCTCACGGCCTTCAGCAAGAGTGTCAAGGATTTCGTTCATCTCTATATAGGTCTTTCCTATTAGCAGGCCGGTTTCAGAAAGGTTTCCCAGGAGCATTTGGGAAAGATTTACCTGGCACTAAGCGATGCAGTCGCCTCTAACAGCATGCTCCCATCACTTCCAGATTTGCAATTCAGGAACTGGTTGGATCTATTTGTGGTGGTTTCGTCCATCACAGAGATCATCATAGACATAGTCGGTGCAGTTCAAGAAGGTGAAAAGTTACAGGGCGATTTGAACAACGTGAGTGGCCTGAAGATATTCCGAATCGTGCGCCTCACCAAGGTTGTGAAGGCGGTGCGACTAGTTCGGATTTTCCGCTTCGTGATGGCCTTGAGGACGTTGGTCACCTCCATCGCTCACACCTTGAAAGCTTTGTTCTAGGCTTTGACTTTGCTATGCGTGATCGTATACGTATTTGCTGTCCTTTTTGCCCAGGCAGTGCATGACCACACACAGGATCCCAACATGCCACCACTTTCAGTTGGTGCAGATGAAGCGCGCGAGAGATACTTCGGATCATTGCTGGACACCATGCTTAGTCTCTTTATGAGTATCGCAGGTGGCGTCAGCTGGGAGCATGTCATTTTTCCTTTGAAGGCAGTCAACACTATTTGGGTGGTCTGCTTCCTCTTCTATGCATCATGGCAGCAGAATGCAAAGGAAAATACAAAGGAAAATACAGAACATGCGTCAGCATGTCGGTTTATCTCAGAATATGTGCCTGCATTGCATTTTCCCGAATGCGTAGCAAGGGTTCCCGTTTCACTCTGGGGGTCTCGGGGTTGAGGGTGTGTTCGCTAGACGTTGCGTTCACGGTCGCAACCGTCCGCAACCGTTCGCAACCGTCCGTGTGATTGCTATATAACCGTGCCTATGGTAAGTTCTGCAGGAGGGGTCATTTTTGGAGGTTTCCAACGTTTCGTTGCTTCGTTTCGCGTGGCAGGCGTGGCACTTCGTGACATTCAGACGTGTTTTGTAACGTGTCCAAAGTCGTTTTGCATGGCAGGCGCAATACTTTTGCGACGTTTTCAGAAGATGTGTTGCATTTTTCGTGGCAGGCGCAGCACTTTGGACGTGTCCATCGTCATTTTTGGTGGCAGGCGCATCACTTTAGATGTGTCGTGTTGCGTGTTTATTGCAAATCGCATTGGCAGGGCTGCGTCAAGTGGCGACAAGGTGCAAATTCCGTGGCAGGCGTGGCATTTTGTGCGATGTGCTGAAAATTGATGGAAGCCTCGCACGAAACATGGATTTTGAGGTAGCAAATTTTCAGGTTCTAAGGAAAACTCGTAGGAAAACGTCGGTTTTGAAGCTACAAAGTGTGAAAATTGGAGGAAGTCTCCCACGAAATGCTCGTTTTGGTGCTCCCACCTGTCTCGTCTCGGGTCTCTTGTTTTCCTGCGGCCTCGCCGTGTCAATGGGGGAAGCTGCAAAACTTGTCCTTTTGTCATGTTGCCAACTGTGAAAATTGGAGGAAGTCTCGTACGAAATGCTGGTTTTTCTGCATCCACGTGTCTCGTCTTGAGTCTCCGGTTTCCTGGTAGCGTCGCCGTGTCTATGGGGGAAGCTGCAAAACGTTTCCTTTTTGAAGGTTTCCAAGCAGGTTGTCATGTCGTTTTGCGTGGCAGGCGTGGCACTTTTGTGACATTCCAACCTGTTTGATAACGTGTCGATGTCAAACTTGGAGGACGTCTCGCACGAAATGCTCGTTTTTGTGCACCCACGTGTCTTGTCTCGAGTCTCTGGTTTTCCTGTGGCGTCGCCGTGTCTATGGGGGAAGCTGCAAAATCTCTCCTTTTCGAAGGTTTCCAAGCAGGTTGTGATGTCGTTTTGCGTGGCAGGCGTGGCACTTTGTGACATTCCAACCTGTTTGACAACGTGTAGATGTCAAACTTGGAGGAAGTCTCACACGAATTGCTCGTTTTTCTGCACCCACGTGTCTTGTCTCGAGTCTCTGGTTTTCCTGTGGCGTCGCCGTGTCTATGGGGGAAGCTGCAAAATCTCTCCTTTTCGAAGGTTTCCAAGCAGGTTGTTATGTCGTTTTGCGTGGCAGGCGTGGCACTTTTTGACATTCCAACTTGTTTGGTAACGTGTCGAAAATGTCAAAATTGGAGGTCTCGCACGAACTGCTCGTTTTTCTGCGCCCACGTGTTTCGTCTCGAGTCTCTGGTTTTCCTGTGGCGTCGCCGTGTCTAGGGGGGAAGCTTCGCACTCCACACTCTACACTTTACATTCCACACTCCACAATTTACATTTTAGACTCCACACTCTACACTTTACACTCCACACTTTGCATTTTACACTCCTCACTCCTCACCTGAGACTTTACACTCCACACTCTACACTTTACACTACACTCTACACTTTCCACTCCTCACTCTACACTTTACACTCCACACTCCACACTCTACACTTTACACTCCACACTCCACACTTTACACTTTACACTCCTCACTCCACGCTCTACACTCCACACTCCCCACTTTACACTCCACACTCCACACTCTACACTTTCACTCCAAACTCCACACTTTACTGTACACTCCACACTCCACACTTTATACTTTACACTCCTCACTCCACACTCAACACTTTACACTCCTCACTTTACACTCCACACTCTACAAACCACACTCTACACTTTCCACTCCACATTTCACACTCCACACTCTACACTTTACACTCCACACTTTACACTGCACACTCCTCACTCCACACTCTACACTCCACACTCCCCACTTTACACTCCACACTCCACACTCTACACTTTCACTCCACACTCCGCACTCCACACTCCACACTTTACTGTACACTCCACACTCAACACTTTACACTCCTCACTTTACACTCCACACTCCACACTCTACACACCACACTCTACACTTTCCACTCCAGACTCCACACTCTACACTTTACGCTCCACACTCCACACTTTACACTCCACACTTTACACTCCTCACTCCACTTTTCACTCCACACTCCACACTTTACACTTTACACTCCACACTCCACACTTTACACTCCTCACTCCACACTTTACACTCCACACTTTACACTCCACACTCCACACTCTACACTTTACACTCCACACTTTACACTCCACACTCCACACTTTGCACTCTACACTATACACTCTACACTCCACACTCTACACTTTACACGCCACGCTTTCCTTTACACTCCTCACTCCACACTTTACACTCCACGCTCCACACTCTACACTTTACACTCCACACTCCACACTTTACACTCCACACTCCACACTCTGCACACCACACTCTACACTTGCCACTCCACACTCCACACGCTACACTCTACACTCCACACTCTACACTTTACACTCTACACTTTACACTCTACACTTCACACTCTACAATTTACGAACTCCACACTCCTCACTCTAACTTTGCACTCCTCACTTTACACTCCACACTCCTCACTCCACACTTTACAATCCTCACTTTACACTCCACACATTACACTTTACACACTCCTTTCTTTACACTCCACACTCCACACTCCACACTTTCCACTCCACAACACTCCACACTTTACACTCCACACTCCGCACTATACACTCCACACTCCACACTCTACACTCCACACTCCACACTCTACACTCCACACTTTACACTCCACACTCTGCACTCCACACTCTACACTTGACACTCTACACTCCACATTTTACACTCCACACTCCACACTCTACAAACCACGCTCTACACTTTCCACTCCACATTTCACACTCTACACTTTACACTCCACACTCCAGACTTTACACTTTACACTCCTCACTCCACACTCTACACTCCACACTCCCCACTTTACACTCCACACTCCACACTCTACACTTTCACTCCACACTCCGCACTCCACACTCCACACTTTACTGTACACTCCACACTCCACACTTTATAATTTACACTCCTCGCTCCACACTCAACACTTTACCTCCTCACTTTACACTCCACACTCCACACTTTACACTCCACACTTTACACTCCACACTCTACACTTTACACTCCTCACTTTACACTCCACACTTTGCACTCTACACTATACACTCTACACTCCACACTTTACACTCTACACTTCACACTCCACACTTTGCACTTTACACTCCTCACTCCACACTCCACACTATACACTCCACACTCCACACTCTACACTTTACACTCCACACTCTACACTCCACACTTTACACTCCACACTCCACACTCTGCACACCACACTCTACACTTTCCACTCCACAGTCCACACACTACACTCTACACTCCACACTCTACACTTTACACTCCACACTTTACACTCCACACTTTGCACTCTACACTATACACTCTACACTCCACACTCTACACTTTACACGCCACGCTTTCCACTTTACACTCCTCACTCCACACTTTACACTCCACACTCTACACTTTACACTCCACACTTTACACTTTACACACTCCTTACTTTACACTCCACACTTCACACTCCACACTTTCCACTCCACACTTTACACTCCACACTCCACACTATACACTCCACACTCCACACTCTACACTCTACACTCCACACTCCACACTCTACACTCCACACTTTACACTCCACACTCTGCACTCCACACTCTACACTTTACACTCTACACTCCACACTCTACAAACCACACTCTACACTTTCCACTCCACATTTCACACTCTACACTTTACACTCCACACTCCACACTTTATACTTTACACTACTCACTCCACACTCAACACTTTACACTCCTCACTTTACACTCCACGCTCCACACTCTACACACCACACTCTACACTTTCCACTCCAGACTCCACACTCTACACTTTACGCTCCACACTCCACACTTTACACTTTGCACTCTACAGTACACTATACACTCTACACTCCACACTCTACACTTTAAACGCCACGCTTTCCACTTTACACTCCTCACTCCACACTTTACACTCCTCACTCCACACTTTACACTCCACACTCTACACTTTACACTCCACACTTTACACTCCACACTCCACACTTTGCACTCTACACTATACACTCTGCACTCCACACTCTACACTTCACACGCCACGCTTTCCACTTTACACTCTTCACTCCACACTTTACACTTCACACTCCACACTCTACACTTTACACTCCTCCACACTCTACACTCCACACTTTACATTCCACACTTTCCACTCTACACTTTACACTCCACACTTTACACTCCACACTTTGCACTCTACACTATACACTCTACACTCCACACTCTACACTTTACACTCTACACTTTACACTCTACACTTCACTCTCTACAATTTACAAACTCCACACTCCTTACTCCACACTTTACACTCCTCACTCACTCCACACTTTACACTCCTCACGTTACA